GGTAAATTTTCAATATTATAATTTGGATCAATAAGTTCCACTATATTTGAGCTCAAAAGAAAATGATCTAAAAATGAACCCCCGTTAGGATACGAAGGAATATCATTACAAAGTCTAGCAAATGAATAAGAATTAAGATTTAACCAATCAAAAAAAGTATTGCCATTAAGGTTGTTGGTATTATCTCCCCAAAAAGTATTCTTTGAGTTGAAGTCACCCCCTATTATTAATGCATCAAAATCAGTTGAAAAATTTGCAATGTTTGACAAACCATTCTCAAATTGTGTAGCATTAAAGTTACAAGGGATATAGATTGACCCAATTAAAATTTTTCTGACTAAATTATTTACTGAAAGACGAATCTCAATGAAGATATTCGGGAATACTAATCCAGAAATTTCTATTTTTGAAAAAGTATAATTTTTTCTAATTGCGATACCTACACCTTGTGATGAAAGATCTGTAATAAAGTGATAATTTTCCAAATAAACTTTATGATGTGATTTTAAATGTGTTTCCTGAATAAAAGCAAAATCAATATTATTACAATTGAGTAAATTTAATAAATCTATTCTTCTACTTGTCTCTACAAGTGATCTAACATTAAATGTAAACATGTTGAATAATTTACGGACCATAAGTTGATAGAACTTCCCTTAAAAGACTTTTACAATCGTTCAATGCCTGAGATTTCGACATTGTTTTGTAATTTTTCATAAAATTTATTATTTTATTCTCCAATGATTCTGGTTCACATAAAACTTTAGCTATTTTCAAAAATTCATTTACAAAAGTAGGCTTATCTTGAGAATTATTATTAAAATGACTTGCAAAAGAGCGATTGGGATCTATACCACTTGAACTTAGGGCGACAGAAACATTATTAGAAACTTGTCTTTTCGTTTCATTCGATTTATCAGATATTTTCCTTTTTATATCTATATATTTTTTAAATGAAGGACAACCTCGCCAATTAGCTGGATGACCATAATTTTGGCAATTAAAACAGAAGGGTTGGCTATTAGATTCAGGAACAAATAAACATTTACCAGGTTCATGACTTGAAGAACATTTAACACAATTGTAAGATCTATTGCAATTTTTCGACATGTGACCAAAATTCTGGCACCTGTAACATTGAACAATCTTTTGATTTTTCTTTGGCTTTTCCCAAGTAACAACTTGATTTAAGATAAAACGAATGTTAGTCAAATCATTTAAACGTTTTCCCTCCTTGAGAGTAACTAAAAATAGTCCCGTTTCTATATTGTTTTTCTTTGAAAATGCTGTTTTAAATTTTGAAATAGAATAAATAGTATCAGGAGATAGATTATTTAAATCCGCCTCAATATCAACAATAGCTGTATCATAATAAAGACCGCGTAATACTAAAGACTTGCGTCTCAATTCTGAAGGTGTAAATGAATATGATTCAATATTCCTTTCTCTGAGTAATTGCATCATCTCAGTATGTGCCGAGATATCTTGCAAGTAAAGTTTACTTTTAAAATTATTTTTGTTAATAATTTTAAATTCAATACCCTTTGCTTTTAATTGTTCAACTAACGTTTTAATATTAACTCCATAAAGGAATATAGGTGGACAAAATTGCTTATTTATCTTCTGCTTTTTCGTCACCGGATTAATTTTTACATGATTAATTTCATTTGCCTCAACATTTAAGTTGTCTAGAATTGCAAACCTATTTTGACTACAGGATGCCCTATTTTCAATGTTAACAGATCGCAATTTGGATAAATCTATTTTTAGATCACCTTTTGAACTTCTTTTGTATTTTTTCTTTTTAACTGTATTAAAATCAAATTCATCACCTGATGTTTTTGCCATATCAATATTATTTATATTAGGCATGGATTATTTTCAGTGTAGTTGTGATGAAAATTCTACATCTTTTTCCACACTTTTTTTGCTGGGTATTTAAAGAAATCTGGCGTTAAGAAATTCGATTTTGGTATGAATACTTAAAATAATAAAGTTTTATATTGAATTTATAAAAAGTTTTCAACAGAAGAAAGACTGGTTTCCCTGGTTATGGCCATTGTAGAATCTGCTGACTTTGTACGCATACAAAGCTACATCGATTGTGAATTGAACAAATATTTCTTAAAAAATGTTGCAGTTTATTTTGTATTGAAAAATTTTGTAAATTTCCCAGGATTAAAAATATTTGAAATCAATTTCCGGTAATGAAAAAAGTCCGGGAAATTAGAAACTCTAACTGGAAGCCAATTGATCATATCAAACAACGTTATGGAAGTTGTTTTTAGAGCATTCGAAAATAAGAAGAGCAAGAGATGTTGTCTTATTATTAATACAGCGTTACTGGCTTAATAACAGCATCAAATAGCCATGCCAATGAACATTTCTTGGGCTTATACTCCAGTATGTACCAATGCCCTTCTTTCACTATCTGAAAGCTTCAATACCTCGCCATAGAGCCGTGGAAGAGGAAAAAAAAAAGATCTTATATTTTCCGATAATAATACACATAAAATCGTTATTTTTGCCGTAGACGCATAAAATTTTGTAAGGAGATGTATTATCATCTTGTGAATCAAAATCAATCAAAAAGTGGATTTTTGTTTTTTTTTATGATACGTTGTTTGGCATTTCAGGTGACAAAATGGAAATTGAATTAAAAAAAATATATATTTTAATTAAGTTCTTCATCAATTCAAACTGTTTATCGATATTTGTCATTTTTTATACAAATTTGAACAAATTTGAAATTGCGAATTCTGATATATAATTTGGCGATGAAGGTAGAAAATAATCTGACAACCCTGAACACTGACTATAACCATAACATTGAAATCAGAGGATAAAGGTTTAACGTTAAGAAAAACATTGAATAACAATGTTTTTGTAGTATCCACATACATACATACATAAGATCAATTAACACCATTTTGCAAGTTGTTTTCATTATTTATTAATATCAAATAAACAAACTCGAACATATAGAAAATATTTTTGTGTTTATAATTGAAGGAATGTATAATTTTTTATATTTTATATTTTACTTAATTTATTATTGATGGTAATACTCTATTACTTGTTGTATTATTAATAAACAATTATTATAGTTAAACATAGGTTTCACGATTAACACAAATTTTACAATCAAAAGCTAATAGCAAAAAGCAAGTTTCGCATTTAAGAAATATATATATAGTTCGAATCAGAAGAAAATATTTTGGGATTGCAATATAAACAAATCAAATAACTGTTTCAATTCTAAATTTATTATATCAAACGATTTTCTTTTAGTTTCTTCAGATTTGGTTTATCTTTAATTCACAAAAAATTTAATAATTTAAATTTTCGATATAAATTTGGCAACAAAAAATTGTTTTTTTTTTTAAGAAACTTATTTGTTTGAACATTATTTTGTTCTTTCTGCTTTCGGTACTGCTTTAAAAGAATAAATAGTCAGACATTGCCAATCATCTGATACCCTACACCAGTGAGTATGTGAATTATTCTTTATATTGAAGTATTTAAGTTGTTATCTTAATTTCGAAATAATATAACAACTTGGTAATAAAAAAAGAATTGATTTTCTGAAAGAGGTGTTATATGGTGGCAAGGAAAAATATCCTCATAAATTTCGGCTGACTGTAGGACCAACATTTTTGGGTGTTAAAAACATCAGCACAAACTCATAATATCCTCCCCCATATCAATCCAGATAAAACTCCACCAATTTATCCGAATGAAGCTAAAAGAATGGATTTGCAAAAATATATTAGACTAAGATTAGGACATACCCGATTAACTGTACAACATTTATTTAACAACTCTAACCCCAACCATTGCCATTTTTGTAATACAACATCAATTCTAAGCACAGAACATTTAATTTTCTCCTGTAATTTTATAAAACAAACTTTTTCTTTTTTATAGAAAAATTTGCTTAGTAGATCTCCTAAAAAATATACTCCCAGCAAAAAATAATTGATGTCATACTTTACAAACGACATCTTAATCACATCTAAAAATGCGATTGCATACTTTTCGCTTTTATAAACCAAACATATACTTACAAATTAAAAAACAGTTAAAAATGAGAAAAGAGTTGTAGAAAAGTCACTACAAACAACATATTCGAAGTACTTCAAATTTTGATGAAAAACCAATGAAATTTACATAAGCGTTTCATTGAAAGAATGTGGTTTCTTTTTGACATACAAATATCGGATTTTTACAGCTTCTAAGGACAAGATTAGATGTAGTTCAAAGTTGTCAAAAATGAACAACATCCCTCCAATGACACGCTAATGTAAAATTCATAGGTTTTTCACCTGAATTTGAATCACTTCGGGTTACTAGTTGTGATGAAAATTCTACATCTTTTTCCACACTTTTTTTTGCTGGGCTATTAAAGTACTATAATATATACAATCTCATTTAAAAAACTATTAGGTCTAAAGCCATAGTTGTTAGTACCTATGTAAAACAATTTTTTTGTATCCATAATTCATTATGATTATAAATTTTATAAATAAATAAATATCCTACATACTATAGTGGTTTAGGGTACAAAAACTGTGGTTAACATGATACCTTTTAAAGCGTGATCAGCAACTTGTAAGTCTTATTATAACAATGCTATTAATTACTTTAAAGTATTTTTAGGAAAGTTTATAATATAACATTATTAAAATTAAAAAAAATATTATTTTCCTACAGAGAATATATTTTCCTACCTCTTTAGAAATCAATTATTCTGAAATCGTTATCAAGTGTTTGACATTTGAATTCAAATTATTTTTAATATGAGATCAAACTTCCTATTGGACCGAGAGTACACACACTACATATTCAATAAGTATCAATAAAATTTTCTGAAAAATATACACATGTATGTTTGTACATATATTTATGTATGATATAAGCAATTGGCACAGTAGACCTATATGCAATTCATAAAATATCTGAAAATGCATAAATTCATTTAGTACATTTTATTATCAGAGTTCGTTTTTTAATTTATTTTTTTTTTGGTTTGATGTATTTTTTTAAGAAAGAAGGTATTAAAGATCATTATTTTAAAATTATGACATTTTCAACAATAAAATATAATATTAATAATACACCATAAAGTGATATTATTTTTGCTAACATTTCGTTCTTTGGTTTATTGGGGAATAAAGGGCTTTAAATTTATAAAAATGTTCTTTTACATTAGTTAGATTAATAAAAACACAATTTGTATTAAATCACAAATCAATTTCATTTAAAAATATTAAAAAAATATATAAAACTAAATAAGTAAGTATGTAACTAAGAACTAAGTAAAGAAATAATTATAAATATTTTATGTACAATCATATTGTTTAAGTTGATTTGACAATTAAGATTGTAAAATAATTTAAAAAGCCAATGCAAAAATATAATTAGAAATCATTTTAGATAAAAGTGAAATCAAATAATTATATAGGAAGTTACTGGTAACATTTATGAGAGAACAAAATATCTAACGTTAACAGCTAATAAAATAAATATGTATTTAAAGTTTTAATGCTTGAGGAATGCTAATTTTATTAAATAAATTTATTTGTTTTTAAATTATGTTTGTTTTTTATTTGCTGATTTTAAGAGCAGCTTTCAGGGAACTGGTAGGAAGATGCAGGGAATTACCACAGCACCACTAAAAGACTATCAAGGATGGAGGATTCATGTCAATCGTTAGATTTTACACTTTGGTAGATTTGCATCCAAAGCCAGAAATGCATCCTTTCTAGCTAAATATTCATTATAACGTATAAAAGCATATCTGTAAATAGAGATAATGAAATAAATATATTATTAATACTACTACAAATACAAATATTTAAGTTGCAGAAATGGAGCCGAATGAGGATCTTAATATTATTATTATTTATTGAAAGTCAAAGTATACAAACTTTTATATAAAATCGAATAAAAGTCCAGTCGGGTATGGGCGACCATATGATACCCTACACCAGTTATAGGTATAACGAAAATGTGACTTATTTTTTAACTAAGCACTTACCTTGAATTTTATCTTAATTCAAAGGCACTTAAGCTATTTATATCGAAAAACTGATTTTTATAATCCGGTCCAAATTTGGTAGAGGCATTTAAGCTTATATTATATAAAGTTATGCCAAATTTCATCATAATATTAGTGTTTATATAGAAAATAAGCAGGCTTATATAATATTTAGTTCTGACGATTTTGGTATATGTACTAGTTTATTTAACATAATTAAATGTCTGAAGTTATTTTCGGACATGGCCAAATCGACTCAGAAATTGATTCTAAGCTGATTGAGATACTTTAAGGACCACTATTTTTGTGCGTTACAAACATCAGCACAAACCCAATATATAATTAAAGTACTAATAAGTTAAGGTTAAGTAGGTTTCTTAATAAAAATGAGATCACATAATAAAAAATACACTAATAAAAGCTTAATTTTATATTTTCCATAACCACAAAAAAAAAAAAAAAAAACGAAATATATTACTCCCTTTTCATTAAATTTGTTACACATATACATACATACGGGGAATTTCGTGTCAAGTGACCCAACTTTTAAAATCGATGTCTTTGGATTTGGATAAAAATTGCACCAACGTTAGTACTACATATCGCACCAGCGATATGTAGGAGAACCATAGGCATGAAATGGGGTCTTAGTCCTACTATGACAAATTGGCTTTATAAAAGTGTAATTAGACCAATTCTAGCTTATGCTTCAATAATTTGGTGGACTGCTTTGGACAAAAAGTGTAATATCAAACTACTACAGGGAGTTCAGCGTACATGCTGCTTGGGTATAAGTGGTGCCATGTGTACTACTTCAACCAAGGCTCTGGAAACGTTGCTAGATATTCCACCCATTGAAACATATATAAGATATGAGGCGGCGCTTACAGCCGAACGGCTCTTTACTTTAGGCGAACTGGCCAAAAACGGTTATAGGACACGTCATCAATGTATACTGGACACATTGGAAGGTTATACACATTCATCGGACGTGCCTGATCGCATACCAGACACTGAATATGTCGGAAACTTTGAAACGCTAATCCCAGATAGAATGTCTTGGTCAAGCGGAACATTAGAGCAAATACCAGTAGGAATCCGTTGCTACACGGATGGCTCTAAATTAGGGGACAAAGTGGGTCTGGGGTTCTATATTGAAGACCCAGAAACAGAAATATACCACCGTTTACCTAATCATAACACAAGCTTCCAGGCAGAAGTACGAGCAATAACGGAATGTGTAAATTGGATTAGAATAAATATGGCGCCCACAGGGCTTAATATATTTACCGACAGCCAGAAGGCAATTTGTGCGATATCAGGTGATAGAATTAAATCTAAGACCGTATTGGATTGTAAGAAAGCTTTAACTGAATACTCTCCCAGAGGTAAGGTTCACATCATATGGGTACCAGGCCACTCGGGAGTAATCGGCAACGAAAGGGCAAATGTAATAGCTTTAAAGGGAAGGGAGCTCGATGTAGTTAACCTGACAAACGCAAAACCATTCGACGCAACAAAAGCTGAATTAAAAATATGGATGAGAGAATCCCATAAGGCCTCTTGGAATAATGAAACGGTGGGTAGAACCACAAAGATTCTATGGGGTGACCCTGATGAGAGCAAGACGAGAAATCTTCTCAAAATGAGCAAGTCTGAGGTTAGTATGATGGTACGTATTCTAAGTGGACACACAGGATTACGAGCACATCTATACAAAATTGGACGTGCGAATTCAGACGAATGTAGAGCATGTGGAGAGGACAGTGAAACTCTGGAGCACTTTCTTTGCCATTGTCAGGCATTCGTCGAAGTTAGATCCAAGTATCTTGGAAGTGATGTTATTCCGGAAATAACATTCTTAACCAACACCGATTGGAAGATTCTTAGGAATTACGTCCAGGAAACTGAGTTTCTGAACATTCAGTAAACAATTTTTTTTTTTTTTTTTTTTTTTTTCTTGAATTGGAGCGCACAACAGGCCCGATAGTGGCCTAGGTGTATTTCTTCGGATTTGATGTAGTATACATCCTCCTATCAACCTAACCTAACCTAACCTAACCTAGTACTATGGAATAGTAGACCAGACGCAAGAACTGACGGAGTCAGAGGGGATCAAAGTTGGACATTTTGGTCATACAGGATACATTCACCTATTGGTCCTAGCAAAAATTGTCCAAAAGAATTTAGATTGCTATTTCTTCATTAGTACTAACCTTAGTGCAAATTTTGTCAAAAACGATTTTTTTTATTTGGGTCACTTGACATGAAATTGCCCATATATGTACTTGCATACTTGCAATTTAAATAGTACATAATATATTATAGCCAATTCTCGTTTTTTTTTTATTATTACAATATTGCTAAAATAATACTAAAAACAATGCGATACATCCACATATATGTAGTAATATTAACAAAAAAAAAACTTACTCAACGTAATCAAAATCAATTGTGGAATGTTCAGCTTGAATTAGACACCATATGACCCAGAAGAAATGAGCAGCTAATGCAAATTGGTTCACCTGCACATATAATGCCTCTACTTCGGCATCACTGATTTGTGATCTCTGTAGATATGTTTGTAAATAGACTCTCAGCCATTTCATTTGGAAATCTCGACTAGGGTAACGGGTGTAGTCGACGGTGTCAACACCGGCAAATTCAGTAAAATGATTTCCAATATCAAAGGCCTGATAGTTGTAGTCCGCATATTCATAGTCGATAAATGTCACAGTTTGAGATGATTCTGTATAGATAACATTGCCCAGCAATAAATCGTTATGGGTAAATACTAAAGGTGATCCCAAAGCTTCCAATCGTTTGTAGAGTTCTGAGAATTCCTTACGCATTCGTGTAATAGGTAAAAATGTGCCTTCAAGTCTATATATGAATCGCAAACAAAAAACCAAGAAAGAAAAATCAAGATACAGTGATTAGTAAAATTTCATGATTCGAAATAATATGTTTGTTAATTAACAGACATGAACATGCATGATCACGAGGTATAATTCTTTCAATTTTCATTCGTTCGTTTGATATTTCTGTTGTTGTACAACCGATTTCTTTGTTACCACAATAATGCATACGAACGAATGTGAACGAACGACAAACTACGTACAATAACAACGAGTCATAGCTAAACCGCCGGCCAGCCGACAGCCTTGACGTTTTTCGTTTGTTCTCTGATCCGTTCGACCACTCGGACCGACCTCTCAACGTAGTTTTCTACAAAATAATGAATTTTTGTTTGGCATATTGCAGAAAATAGAAACTAAATCAATGTTTATCTATTCCGTAGACAATTACCTTTTATGTTTGTTGGCATCAGTGAATTTAACAGGTACTAAATCAAAGAAACTTTGTGTTTTTTTCCACAGCATTGGCACAGGCTTGGCATCGTGGTTCCAATTAGGCTTAACCAATCTATGCATATCAGCCATACGTTGAGCCACCAACGACCACACTTCTGGTCGAAGAACACTCTCGGGATTGAGAGTTACACCAGGTACAAAATCATAAACCAACCCATTTTTGAAAGTTGCATAAAGACTTGGTGCAAATCCATATGAGTGCAAAAGGATTATATTTCGGGTTTCGGCCTTACGATCTATAAGTAGGTCTGTTTTGTTGCCATATACTCTAACGAGTACTACGTTTTTCGTAGGCGGAGCTTCACATGTAGTCGTCATGTTTGTGTTTGTTGACATTGCAGATTCAGGGTCTGTATCGGCGTCAGCGTCGCTAAGATTTCCGGAGTCATTGTTATCATCAGCTGTGCTCTCCGCGGTGATGTTTGTATTTGAACTTTGTGACAGAACATCTGAATCTGAATGATCACTTTCGTTGATTTTCGTATTATGAAGATTGTTTGTAATGGAAGTAATGCGATAATCGTTGGGAGGATTATAAAAACAACCCACTAACTTATTAGTAATACCATCGGTAAATTTCTGTAAATACACAATAAAATTGAAAGTAAAATATCATTACAATCAGATATGGAAATAAACATGCTTTACTTGATGGTATAAAAGAGAAAACAAATTTACTATTTCAAGTTTTAATTAACCGTAAAAAAGCAAAAAACTTATAAAAAATATATACATACGTATGTATGTAAATGTACTAATAACTACATCATTAATTTGCTAAACTAATTATTAAGAATGCAAATGTTATTATTACTTATAGATAAGATAAAATATGAAAATTATTTAAGTTATTAATCAAGATAAAGTCAAAACAAACAACCATAAAATTAAAAAGCAAACCAACCAGTGATTATGCTAAATTTATACAGATGGAAGGACGTTGGTCGTTTCTTTCTTGATCTGCAACTTAAACATTGCAACAAAAACTTAATAGAAACTCTTTTCCGTAGAGAAGTACCCAGTATGCTTCGCAACAAAAATATAAAAAAAATTCACTTTACGTTTTAGAAGAAACTTTATCAAAATATTGAGGTGTGCGGCTACCATACTTTGGATTTTTGGTTTGTTACAAATTGAAATAAATATGTATTTAATTATACGAAAATTTTCTTTTCATAAAATACATTTTTATTACTAAGTATAATGAATATCAATGTTAGTTAAAATTCAAACAATTTGTTAGAAAATTGAATGCCTAATTAAAGTATGAAACAACAAAATACAAAAAAAAAGTAATTCAATTAAAAGTTAAAATTTAGTTATACAGTTTTAAACACTTGTAAGCATGCTATTTAATAAAAAAATTCCATTGATATTGTCGGAACATTTTAATCAATCATAATACACACTCAATTATTTAGCATTGTTGCAATTGTATAAGCAATGTCTAAAATATTTTATTATATGACTGAGATTTCATCGCGAATAAAAAAAATAATTTAATAGCTTTGTTATTGTATTAACACTTATAAACATGAAAATTTACGGTTGCGATATACATTCACATATATGTATGTATATATGTATGAATAACAGGTGAAGGGAAGAAGGAAAAATATAACACATGAATATAATATATAATCGTAGTACTAGAAGTTTTTTGATAATATAATACACTACACTGCCGCTTACTAAAATATGAGATGTATTTTTGGTAAGTATTTTTTTATTCAAATTTTGAATTATTCATCACTTTCTGAGAAGGGAAGTGAGAACAGAATATAAAACAAATATTTCTTTGTATATCTTATTGTAACAGTTCAACTGTGCCAGATAGTTCTTTGCTGCGAAAAAAACTTTTTGTTGAAACAGCTGTCGCTGTGTTTACCATCTAGCTAAAGTCGTACCGGAGCGAATTGTCGTTAAAATATAAAATGTTCAGATATGTTGGCTAATATTTTTCTTTATTTTTGTAAAAATATAATAATTGAGTCATTAGCTTTTTTATTATATTTAATAATAAAACATAAAAATGTTACCAAATTTTAGTTTGTTTATTTTTCGCATAATCTAAATAATCCTACTGAAATTGAAATAATACGAAATAGTTTTAAGTTTTCATATTTTTAATGTTTGTAAAACATAACTAAGTTGTACACATCTGAAAATAGGCAGTCCTTATAGTTAGTGTTAAGTTTCGACAAATGAATAATAAATTTAATTTTCATATAATTTTCCTTAAGATATAAAATATCACTTCAGATACAAACTTACAAAATGTAATATCTCCTTATTTTGACCTAATCCTTCTAAATGAAGTATATCAGACCTTTAAAATCTTAATACAATTACAAAGCGAGTAAGACATTAAAGGCCTGCACAAGACAACTATAATGCCACAATTTGCTAAAAAATTCCGTATGCTTTGATGGCGCACACAATAATTTTGTAATCAAACAGAGAGCCTTTGGCTGAAATCGAAACAACAGCCACCAGATTGATAGACTAAAAACTAAGCCAACGGACCAATAAAACCTTATACAAAACGAAAATGTTATGCTGATCAGTCCATATTTAGACACACATTGCACATGATACCCTACACTACTTTGTTGGGTATCATGTAGGAATCAGTGTAATATTTTGACATTTATAGATACAATAGATAAAAGCTTGATAAAAAAAATATTAATAAGGCATACAGGTGGTCGAAAAAGTTCACTAAACGAAGAAAAAAATGTTTATGAAATGACAAAGACTTAAGTCATTTTTATCAATTAGAAATTGCCTAAGAAAAAACAACAAAAGTCCCATAATTTTTTAAATTGTATACGAAAGATTAGTTTCAATGTGTACATCATCATAAGTATACAAATAACAAACAGATTTTTGACGTATGAAACCAAAGTCCAAAATTATATTTAGAATCTCTATCTCCGTGAATACAGTCGAGATGAAATCAATGACAGACAGCACATAAATTTATAGTATCTATTTTGTAATTTATACATATATTTTAAATAAAAACAAAATCTATAAACAGTTTCTAAATATTGTCGCGTGTTTTAAAAAATCACGCCACATGAATGAAATGTACTTTTTATATGTATACAGTGGCGAACAATTTAGAGACAAATAGAAACAATGTTAGAAAAAGATTTTCTATAGCAAAATTGATGTTTGAAATATTAATGCATTAATGTAGAACTCAATTAATCGATTTACAAATTTATATAACGATAATAATTATTCTTTTACAGGTTTTTTGAGTGTTTTTAGTAAAAAAATGATATGAAAGAATTATTTTTTATTGAATATAAATCAAAATAAAAGAAATCGTTAATGTTGGTCAACTAGAACAATTACGGCATGTTTTGAAGGTGAGAGAAATCCTAAAAATATTTTAGCTTGATAATATGTATGTATATTAGAGGTGTCCAAAAAATATAACTTGTGCTTGGATGTGTCTTATATTGTTCATTAGTGTCTAAAAGTAAGTGGTGTAAAATTTTAGCCCAATCGGATAACGGGAACCCATGCCGGAAATCATTTGAAAAGTGTAAAATTGAGTAAACAATAAGACTTTTTTGATTTCTTAAAAATATAATTACATTTTCTTTGAAAAAATGGCTACATTAATTTTGGGCAAATAAATTTTTTAGATTCACTTAAAATGAATCTATATTTGCAAAAAATATATTCGCAGAATTTTAAAATAGTATAAAATAAAAGCAACATAATAAACCTTAAACATTTTAAACATTGTGAGTCTTATTCATAGTTTTATCAAAGGTTTATAAATCAAATTTTCATACAAAATATGTTCTATAAAAATGTTTATGTATAAGACTGTGTGTATAATCACCAAGGCAAGGATTTTCATGCACTAAAAAAATTAAAATATGCACTAAAAATGTGGAAACTATGCACCAAAAAAATATACACTATGTCACTAAAGTCTACAAATGATTTTAATTTTGGTATTTTTCTGTGTATTAAAGGAAAATAAAAAAATCTTTTACATTATTGTAAATGTTATATTTTGGGAAATAAAAATCATAAGAAATCGTTTATCAATTCCAATAAATAAAATATTTTTAAAAGAAAAATAATTTTTTTCATGTTTTGAATTTTACAAAAGTCTACAAACGTCGATTAATAAAAAATAAATTACATTTCGGAATGGTTTTTTTTTTTTTTTTTTTTTGTTATATTGGAATTGAAAAACATTGTCTTTTGACCAGCATTGCCACTGACCAAATTTTTGTCAAAAAACTACCAAAATCGTTTGAAAATCATATATAATTATTTTTTGAGAAAAGTGTGACTTATTTATTAAGGTATTTCGTCGCCTAAAATGCAAAATTGTGTTAAACTATGTATAAACGGTTATTAGATCTTACTATATTGGCAGAAAATTTTTCTGAAAATGTCTATCGTTCGTGTCAACTTACAATTTTTAGACATTTTCTGAACATTTGTAAGATCTATAAACCATGTATCACAGCTTTTATGATAAATACATTTCTTGAGATTCATTTTTAATTTGTGTAGGGAAACGTCCTTGAAGATATGATATGAATATATATTTTGTACCTAATTGCAAGGATTAAAATGTTTAGATTAAATTTGCTATACCTATATAATTGTATCCAGACCCAATACAAATCCGAAAACACCTGGAAAATAATTTTAATGTTCAAAAATATGTTGGTTATGTAGCAATTGTAAACAAATTTACCCCCACTCAGTTTGAAGTACCCAGAAATCATAATATCGGTACCCTAACTGCCACATTAAATAGCCCAAAATAATATTAATAAGGACCTGTTTTTTGGCAATAGAGTTCTAATAATTTGCGACAATATGATTTCAACCAAAAAGTTTTCAATATTTTGTTCCTCTTTGCATTTCAGGTGACTACTTAGATACAATTAGTCATACACTACATATTTTTTTGTTTCAGAATTTCAGACAAAACTTTGCCCTAGCTCCCACATTAGGTCGTTCTCAAAAAATTACAATGAAATTTGAGATAAAATTAACATAAATTGTTGGTTATGTAGCAATTGTAAACAAATTTACCCCCACTCAGTTTGAAGTACCCAGAAATCATAATATCGGTACCCTAACTGCCACATTAAATAGCCCAAAATAATATTAATAAGGACCTGTTTTTTGGCAATAGAGTTCTAATAATTTGCGACAATATGATTTCAACCAAAAAGTTTTCAATATTTTGTTCCTCTTTGCATTTCAGGTGACTACTTAGATACAATTAGTCATACACTACATATTTTTTTGTTTCAGAATTTCAGACAAAACTTTGCCCTAGCTCCCACATTAGGTCGTTCTCAAAAAATTACAATGAAATTTGAGATAAAATTAACATAAATTGTTTTAAGAAATAAAGGGCTCTACAAAAATCTTTTGTTTTCAATCCTCAAGTCCTGTTATAAGGCGATATTCCGAACTCCATTTAATGATTCAAAAATGTAATAAGATTTTGATATACAAAAATTTTAATATTTTAATACATTAATAAATAAATAATTAAATTGGTAATATTCTTTATAAGTATGTGTTTTGACAAACCTACCAAAAATCGATTTAAACTATCATCCTACCAAATGAAAAAAAATCCTACCAAATTTGGTAGGAAAAGACCAAAACGGCAACGCTGCTTATGATTTATATTTCTCAAAACATAACATTTACAAAATTGTGAAAGAATTTTTTAATTTTCTTTATTACATCGGAAAATACCGAACAAAGACTTATGTGGCATAGTGTATATGACCATATGATACCCTATATCAATTATAATTACATTTTAAATATGATTTAATATAAATAAAAGCGCATTGATATTGAATTTTAACTTTATTGCGATATATTTAACAATTTTTTATGAAACATATTTTCTTTAAAGAGGGTTTATATCGGGGCTAACGTCAAATGTTTATGTTTATATAAACGTGGTATTAGGGGAGTTTATATGGGGGATAGGGTCAAAAGAGCTTCGATTATGATGATTTTTGTATAGCTATTGCTTTATTTAACATGAGCTTAAAATCTTTATTCGGGAGGTACGGGTTGTAGGACCAATATTTTTGCCTGTTATAAACATCAGCACGAAGGAATACTCCCTCCACTTATTCATAATGAAAAACGAGCTGCTAACTATATTGCTGCTAACTATATTGCTGCTAACTATATTGCTGCTAACTTATTTGTGTGTAAATTACAATAAGGGAAGGATAGCAGCTCGTTAGTTAGTAGTTAGGTTTTTATTATGAATAATACCATAAGTATTCTAATATTTTTGATTTGTTTTTATTATTGACGAATAATGCAGTCAAATTTTTTTTTAATTTACTGTAGATATTTTCTTTCAGTAGATTACAAATACAGTGGAAAGTTTTATAAAAATGTAAACAATTATCATGACAAAAATATGCATTATCTGTTGAAAATGTATATTTATAAAAACATATGTATGTATGTAAATATATAAACACTAATCTATATACACAGCAGGTATACATACATTCTGAGCGAATGCCTTTAAAAATACAAACACCAGTTTTATAACAATATACTTTAGATAAGTAAAAAATCAAAAACAGACGAACAAAAGTGTTTTGTTTGTGAATAATTCCAAAAACATACACTTAAATGCAAATTTTAAATGCGCACTTTACAAAATGATCATATGATTTAGTATTTCATTAAAAAACAATAAAAAAACAGAAGCTATTGTTTGTTTTAATTAATAGTTTAACAAATTATTATTTGCAATGCAAATATTAAGATCTTGTTCATAGCATACCTATGAGATGAAATATAAGGCGGTATTAAAAACTAATTGTAGAATCTACAATGTAGATATAATATTGGGAAATAATTTCCTATTAATATGCTGTCTTTTAATTTATTTAATCGAGCCCATATAGGGCCATATATGATTAATATATTACAAAAATACGTAGTGATCAATAATTACAATAGATTTTTTAATTGATAACATTTTAGGCATATACATTTTTATTCTTCCTTAATTGATATTCCTTAAATAATCTACATACGTTTTTTTTTATTGAGTAACTAAAAGTTTTCAGGTTTCTAGGAAGTTTATTCCAAATTCTAGATGATCGTACTAAAAATGACCTTTTAAAAATACCACTATTAATTCTTGGTCAAATTATTTTCTGACTTTGAAAAGTACGTGCAACAGATGTTGGTTTGTGTGTATTTACTATGCAATATAGTGTTAGCATTATTCTCGTATTTATCAAATTCTCGAACGAAAAGGAATTCAAATGAGAAATCCAACACTGGTCCCGAAATTTTATTGAGAAAAATATACCGCAAGATTCTGTTATATATTACAGTCAAATATTTAATATAGCTTTTAGTAGTACCACTAATGATTTCAAGGCAATAGAGAATGTGCGTCATGAGTTAAGAGTGAGATATTCTAAGGCGTACAGGTTTAGGTAGAAAACAATCTAAATTAGTATTGCCAACTTTAGATCCAACTGCAGATATATGTTTCCTAAAATTAAATTCTTTATCAATTATTACACCTAAACAATGCACGACATTTACGAACTGTATACATACATTGTTAAATAATGTATTAATAAAATAATGGAATAATTCAAATCTGATTTTCCCGGGAAGTAATATTCAATATCGAATACCGCGATTTATGAATACCAGTACCTATTAATATACATTCTTTATGAGTTAATAGGTATTTACGTACAACTTTTATGAAAACATTGTTATAGTTAAATTAGAATTAAATGATTTGCCTTATTTCGTGAACGATTAATTATTATAAGTATTATTTACAAAGCTTTCTTAATAAATTAAACTAATTTTATAATCTAACATTGAATTAATTATTATAAGTATTATTTACAAAGCTTTTTTAATAATTTATACTAATTTTATAATCTAACATTGAATTATAATTTAATTCATAGAAACTATTACATAATTATAAAGCTATAAATAAAATTAATTCTATGATGTAAAAATCATCTTAAAATCACTAAACGATAATGTAAAATGTCGTAATTTTACTAAGAAAAAGCTTGAGTAGTATTTATACAAATGTTTATTAGGGTTATAACTAAAATATTGTAGTGTATTTAGTTATAACTAGGACAGTCTTATTCCAATGTATTTAATATATCAATTCAAAAAGATTACATTATAAATTTCGTAATTATTTTAAATTACAGGGCGAATAGTTCCGTGTTCATTAATTGATAGTTTAAGTTTCATTTTTAAATAAATATGCATATAGAATTATGCTGACAGCGGCTGATATCAAGAAACGGTCAATAAGTTATCAAATATTCCTAATGTGGAAATACTTTGTATATGTATATGTCTGTATACAATATGGTCTTGAGCAAATTTTATTCAATATTTTCAGGGGTAAATGAACTAAATATGTTTCCTGGCATAATTTAAAAAATATTTTTAATGATAATATTGAAAATGATATAAATTCATATATTTTGAGCATACAAGGAAATGGATCTCATTGAAACTTTTAATACAGCTTAATAAAGTTATATTAAAAGTTTTTAAATGCATTTTGTAAAAAAAAAAGTATGTAGGTACCTATATAGAATTGCTATATATATAAATGCGTTCTGATTTTACATGTAAAAACGTTTTAAAAATTTTATTAGCTAAATTCATCCAATATAAGAAATTGCTTATATTTACTAATTATTTTCAAGGAAATTTTTGAACATCTTACCTACACTCGAAACTTGAAAAATTTAACATTGAATTATATACAAAGTTATTAGTCTTAAAATGACATATTTTTATAGTAATTTTTTGGGGGTTTCGCGGTTAATTTAAGTTTAAAAAACGAAAATAAAATATGTATATAATTTTTTGTTTTAAATTCAAACAAAAAAATTAATATCTGTTTAACTATTAAAAAAATGAATAGAAACTACCTATTACCTATCAATGATATACAATTCATTACCATCTCCAATAATAACAAAATACCGAAGGCACATTATTCGCTAGTTACCTTGAATTGAACAAAATTAAGATCCCATGTTGGTCGTATTACTTTTAAGATTTCTTTAGCTCCTTCAATAACGGCATTTTCATCGATGTGTATGGGCACAAATGGCACTGTGGTTTCTACGGCAATTTGTGACGATGATGAGTGAGGCTGAGCTGACGCACTATTTGAGACAGACGTTACAAGATTTTTCGATGAGCATTTGCCATTATTTACACAAGTATTGTTAAAAGCAGTTGCAGAAGAAAGCTTTACAATATTTGGAACACGGTTAATACCAGTTGCAGTGTTCTCAGTATAACAATTTATTTTAGTTTCTGTGCCCATACTATTGATCCAAACTTAATAACAAAATTAGTAGGAGGAACTTGTAAAGTTGATTCAAAGATGTATTGCGTTGTTATTTTTCAATTAGGTTTGTAGATATTTGAATGAATTGCAATTAAACGATTTTTGACTATAGAATACGTTCTTTAGTCAATTTAATTAAAATATAATTTCTTTGCGTCAAAAATCTTAACTTTAAGGTGTAGCTGCAATTACAAATTCCTCACCAAACGAGAAGGTAAACAAAACAGCCAACAACCAAGTTCAAACACAAGAAACAAACGGACCGACAGTTTTTCAAACGCAATAATCGCGCAGAATTTTTGATTTAGATTTTTTTATATTCTTTTTGTAGAATTTTTGTTAATTTTTTTATATATTTATGCTTTCCAAAAACTGTAGGTACACTCACACAAACATTAACAAAGTTATCAACAAAAATATTTTGTTTCTAAAATCTATTTTTATCGATTTTTCACGTAATAATTGTGTGGTAGTAAAATTATGTGGCCTTTGTATTTATTCCTTTTTAGTTGTTGTTGTTTCCTTTTGATTTGTTTTAACAATTAAGTTAACAATTTGTTGTATGTTCTAAAAATGTTTTTCAGTATATAAGTACAATTTGTTAATAAAATTATTTAAGCATTTATTTATTTTATGTTATCTGAAATAAATGCGGTAAAACACGATATTTTGCAAAATATTGCCGAAACACGTCAATTTTCGTCGAAATACTTTTTCAAACTGAGAGCAGAAAGAAGCGCCGACAAACATTAACGACGGCGTCTGACACCATGCCTATCGGCGGCGGTTTAAAATCGGCTGGCAAAATTTTCAGCTATTTTTTTACATTGTCAACAGCAATAGTAGTGCGTAATTTTCAGTAAAAATATTTAGCAAATTTATGATAGCAATTAATTTTTTTACTTTGCTCTCAATCAAAAAATATCATAAAAAGTACGCAAACGCAAATTTGTAAAAAATTTCTAAATTTTGTTTATAACTAAAGATTATTCCCTAGTCTGAAGTTACTATACAAACATATTAAAATCAGTGTTTACTTTTACTAATATATTAGTCAGCATATACCGCAAAATACACGTTTTTATCACTCGCCATACTAAAAATATTTAAACTTCAGATTTAAATAGCATTGGTACTAAATATTGCCGTCTGTTTTTATGTTTAACTAGAAAAATTGCGACGTTACACTGCAATTTCTAGAAGCACAAATGAACAGTATTCATATAGTGTTTGTTGAAAAATAAAAAATATACATATTTTTTGCTATAGCACACAACACTCAAATCTGTTAAACTAATATGGCAAGTATTGATGTTTTTATTTGAGTTGAGTTTTTTATCTTTTTATCTTTCTACTGCTAGCTCAGATTATGTATAGTTTTTTGAAAACATACATACATACATACATAAATACATACATACATACATACATACATACATACATACATGGTAGGTAAGTTGATAGGAGGATGTATACTACATCAAATCCGAAGAAATACACCTAGGCCACTATCGGGCCTGTTGTGCGCTCCAATTCATAAAACAAAATTGTTCACTGAATGTATTTCCATGTTCAGAAACTCAGTTTCCTGGACGTAATTCCTAAGAATTTTTCAATCAGTGTTAGTTAGGAATGTTATTTCCGGAATAATATCACTTCCAAGATACTTGGATCTAACTTCGACGAATGCCTGACAGTGGCAAAGAAAGTGCTCCAGAGTTTCACTGTCCTCTCCACATGCTCTACATTCGTCTGAATCCGCACGTCCAATTTTGTATTGATGTGCTCGTAATCCTGTGTGTCCACCCAGAATACGTACCATCATACTAACCTCAGACTTGCTCATTTTGAGGAGATTTCTCGTCTTGAAGAAGTTTGAGACCAGGTTAGGTTAGGTTGATAGGAGGATGTATAGTACATAAAATCCGAAGAAATACACCTAGGTCACTATCGGGTCTGTTGTGAGCTCCTTATCATGAAAAAAATGGGAACTGAACGAATTATTTTTCAGTGTTCATAAACTCAGTTTCCTGAACGTAATTCCTAAGAATCTTCCAATCAGTGTTAGTCAGGAATGTTATTTCCGGAATAACATCACTTCTTGGATCTAACTTCGATGAATACCTAGCAGTGACAAAGAAAGTGCTCCAAAGTTTCACTGTCCTCTCCACATGCTCTACATTCGTCTGAATCCGCACGTCCAATTTTGCATAGATGTGCTCGTAATCCTGTGTGTCCACTCAGAATACGTACCATCATATTAACTTTAGACTTGCTCATTTTGAGGAGATTTTTCGTCTTGCTCTCATCAGGGTCACCCCATAGGATCTTCGTGGTTCTACCCACTGTTTCCTTATTCCAAGAGGCCTTATGGGATTCTCTCACCCATATTTTAAGTTCAGCTTTTGTTGCGTCGATTGGTTTCGCGTTTGTCAGGTTAACTGCCTCGAGCTCCCTACCTTTTAAAGCTATTACATTCGCCCTTTCGTTACCGACTACTCCCGAGTGGGCTGGTACCCATATGATGTGAACCTTACCTCTGGGAGAGTATTCAGTTAAAGCTTTCTTACAATCCAATACGGTCTTAGATTTAATTCTATCGCCTGATATCGCCCTAATTGCCTTCTGGCTATCGGTAAATATATTAAGCGCTGTGGGCGCCATATTTATTCTAATCCAATTTACGCATTCCGTTATTGCTCGTACTTCTGCCTGGAAGCTTGTGTTATGATTTGGTAAACGGTGGTATATTTCTGTTTCTGGGTCTTCAATATAGAACCCCACTTTGTCCCCCAATTTAGAGCCATCCGTATAACAACGAATTCCTAATGGTATTTGCTCTAATGTTCTGCTTGACCAAGACATTCTGTGTCTGGTATACGATCAGGCACGTCCGATGATTGTGTATAACCTTCCAATGTGTCCAGTTTACATTGATGACGTGTCCTATAACCGCTTTTGGCCAGTTCGCCTAAAGTAAAGAGCCGTTCGGCTGTAAGAGCCGCCTCATTCCTTAAATATGTTTCAATGGGTGGAATATCTAGCAATGTTTCCAGAGCCTTGGTTGAAGTAGTACACTTGGTTGAAGCAGCATGTACGCTGAACTCCCTGTAGTAGTTTGATATTGCACTTTTTGTCTAAAGCAGTCCACCAGATTATTGAAGCATAAGCTAGAATTGGTCCAATTACACTTTTATAAAGTCAATTTGTCATAGTAATACTAAGACCCTATTTCATGCATATAGTTTTCCTACATATCGCCCAGCACCGATGTGCTTTGTTGATCCTATCCTCTATGTGGTGTCTCTATTTTAATTTCCGGTAGAGGATTACACCTAACTACTTAACTTTGTCTGTCACTGGTATCTTCTTGCCCAGAAAGCAAGGTTCAGTATACGTAGACATTTTTGTCTTTCTTGTGAAAAGACAGATTTCCGTTTTTGCCTGGTTAACATTGAGGCCTCTCGGTTGAGCCCAGCTCAAGGCCGTATTCAGAGCCTCCTCAGCTCTTCTACACAAGTAATTTAGATCCTTTCTGGTAACCCAGAGTAAAGGTGACAAAATGTCACCCTGTGGTATACCGCGAAATACCTTTTTCTTGATAGTTATATCGTACATATCGCAGCTTATCCATCTGTTCCTTAGCATGTGGTTGATCCAGTTACGGAGCACTCGGTCAATATAAAACTGGTCTAGAGATTGGATAAGAGTATCAGTGTGTACGTATTTGAAGGCGCCTTCGATGTCAATACATACCGCCAGTGTATATAGTTTGCTATCAAAGGATGCACCTATGTGGACAACTTCGTTTAAAGCGGTTTCCACCGATCGTCCCTTTACATAGGCATGCTGCTTAAATTTTAGGTCTTTGTCGGGTATACTGTTTTTAATCATATTATCGACTATCCGTTCCAAGGTTTTAAGTAGACTTATCGGTCGATAAGACTTAGGTGTCGAATAGCTAGGTTTCCCTGGTATAGGTATAAATATTACCCTTGCATCCTGCCATTTAATGGGGGTATATGTGAATTTCAAGCATACAGTAAATATCTGAGACAGATGCACGGAAACCAGTTCCGCCTCCATCTGTAAGGGTGCCGGGAAAATGCCATCCGGCCCTGCAGCTTTATAGGGAGCGAAGCTCTTGATTGCCCCTTTAACCATATCAGATGTAATTACATTTTCCGTGTTAGCCTCCCCTTCCTCCAATTTCGGTTCATCTATGTTATTCGATATACCGGGTGGGAAATGAGAGTCCATTAGGAGTTTTATTGTCTCATCAATATCCTCCTGCCCGTATCATCGACCATAGATTCCGGTTGGACATGAGTTTTGGATAGGAATTTTTTATCTTCGATACGTCATTTACGCTGTCTACCTGTTCACAGAAAAGTTTCCAGCAGTCTCATTTGGCTCTACGAACAATTTTCTTATATTCACCATCCCAGTATACTGCGGTCTTTTTGCGCCGTGCCCGGTTAAATAGTTTGCGAAGAGTCTTACCAAGGTTCCGGATCTCCCCGGATACCCAGGGTTTCTCCTGGGCATATCTTCGCTCTCGCAGAGGGCAGCTGTCCTCGAACGGTTCAACCAAGGCACTTGTGAGCATTTCTACTTTGGCGTCTATGTCTTCTTTAAAAACATAAGTTCTTGTGACATAAGATACATGTTCTCGGTAGAAACCCTGTATCAGCGTAGAAAAGTTGGAAATTTACGTGATTTAATCCAGAAACCTTGTTGCGAATCGTCCAATGTTCCTGGATTAAAGCTATATGTATCTTACCTGTGTTAATTTTAGCCATCAGAGCGTTGGTAGCTGTCTAGCTCCGATGGAGGTTTATTTGGATAACCTCAATCATTGTCATCCATTTAAACAATCTTCCAGCGAGTTAGTGATTACATCCCCGCTCGTTGGATTTGACTCCTCCGTGTAACCTGAAGTGGCTACTGATGCAGTGGGTACCTTTGATGGCACTGCGGTGTCCTTATCAGGCATAGCAAGAGCAATCTTTTTAATCGACACTTTACCAATTTTGGACAGCACTGCTGTTCTGTCTTCTGGCGAGTGAGTGATTTCCTCCTCGCTTTTAGGATTTGACTCCTCAAAATTACCAGTACTTGCTAATGATGCTTTGGGTACCGTCTTAGGTGTTTTAGTGTCCTTATCGGGGCCGGTTTTGACATTCCTTTCAATCCCCAATGTTCGAAAGGGCAGCTGCACCTTCTTTTGGCGAGTTAGTAGTAGCTTCCTCGCTTTTAGGATTTGACTCCTTAACGTTATCAGTAGTTGCTACTGATGCTGTGGTCTTAGGTATTTTAGTGTCTTTTTCGAGGCTTGTTGTAACAGACCTTCCAATCGGCACCTTCCCAATTTTGAATATGACAGCTTTAGAGGCGAAGTAAGCCCTACCTTTATTCTTGGCAAGACTAGCCATAGATTTCTGGTCGATACCTATTACAAATAAAGTTCCCTCAGGTTCTTCTTTCCTGTAAAAGACATTGATCTTAATTTTTCATCAGATAAGTTACACCGTTGATCATTCAAAATAAGTCGCAGAAGCAGAAAATGCCTCTCTACGGTTACTTGTGTTGCTGGGACAGCGTGGATAATATAAGCTAATTGTTTCAAAAATGGCATATTGTATTGTTGTTCATGCCAGTAATTTAGTAAATTTATGTCGACATCCTCTTTTGGGGGTCTGTAATTTTCTATTTGCGCGTTT